CCCCAAAACCCCAAAACCCCAAAACCCCTTTGAATGATATTAAGATTGGATATTAATAATAACTCAGATTGGGCTCATGGTATATTGGTATGAATGAATATTAATTTCGAATCATAAGCTGCTTTCTCATCTTATCATAAGCTTAATATCCTTCCTAACAGCTAAACTATGGATCAGCTCTTTATATATTGCTTAAAAATTAGAAATACACTCGAATTAGTGTTGAGCTGTTATAAAGCTACTAAGATTTCTATAAAACCAATATAAAAATTTGAAGACACCAAAAACAGGTAATAAACCGCAAAACTCTTGAATAGAAGAATTATCTGGTCAAAACAGTCAGTAAGAATTTCTGTTCTGAAAATATGACTCCGTGACTCTCGAATAAAATTTGAATATTCTTAAATAAGAAAGAGTTCTTCTACCAAAAATATTTTATCAGATCACTAATTATATGTGATTTTTATGAAAAATTAGAAAGACATGAAATGGTGAAGTCTATAAACCTTATTTTAACAAGTTTTGAATTAATGAATGGATCTTCTAATTTCCTGTGAAAATCTGATTATACAATACAAATTGAGGTTTAATGGTTATACTACTTGGCTTCTACTAAAATATTTCCATAAATTGGAGTGTAAGGTTGCTGCATCGCTCGGTAATAAAGATTTAATAAAATTAATATTAATAAGAGGATTAATGAAATTCGAAAGCCATCTTAAAATAGCCTGAACAGAAAATATACCATATGGAGATTTAATATAATCCACCGCTTTTAGAGATAAGCCTCAATACTTTAGAGATTACTGAATTTCATGGATCGAAGACAAATATTTTGAACTGGTTTGAAAACAAGTATTACTGAACAAACTACATTTAATTTTTTGGGTAAGAAAATAGCGAGGTTGAGAGTTCTATATTTCAGATATATACTCCAAGACACTAGATGAATTATGAAATCTTTTTCTAGAAGTGCTCTAACTTGTCATTAAATTTTAAAGAATCAATTAAAATGTATTGGAGGGTAGGTTTAGATTCGAACTTATTAATATACAAATTTAGCAATTGAAAGGATTATGGAGATCTCCAACAGTCACTTCTTCGCCTTTGGGCATCTGTAAGGCATGGCATTCATTAGTTCCAAACTTCGGGCTTTCGTCTAGCTCTCACTCGAAACTGTATATGTTCCTAATCTGGATTGCTTTCTGTAACAGATTTCGAATATCAGCTTGAATTTTGTTTGTTGGGAATTGAGTCTTTGAAGATGCTTTCTTCATAAGAAGGCCTTTATTTTCACAAGAAGGTTCAAAATTTCCTGTTAAACCATCATTCTTATAATCAGAAATAGGTCAAGAGGCAACCTTCCTAAACTTCTTCACACTTGAAACCTGGTCAAAAGGAGTAGCTGGAGTCTTAGTCTCAAGATGGAGAGAACGAATGAATGCTGGTCTGGAAATATTCTCGTCCAGAATATCATCAGTTATGTTTTCTTCAAAATGTTTGTCGTAGTTCATTTTATGAATATTATTAATATCAGGAGTCATGACTTCTTATGGGGTTTTGGGGTTTTGGGGTTTTGGGGTTTTGGGGTTTTGGGGTTTTGGGGTTTTGGGG